TCCACTATGACTGGTGCTCTTATCAAAAGAGGAAATATAGAGCAAAGATGATAATGTGTGTGTCTTTGGAAACCAAAAGCTAGGAGAGAATCATGGAACAGATTCTCTCTGAGTCCTTGGAAGGAACTAGCCCTGCTGACAACTTTGAGACAGGCTAGTTAGTAAACCAGGACTAGTGAAATAGGGAAACTTAGACAGACAGTTAAATGGCCAAGCAGTTCACAGACATCTAGTAAACAGCCATCTAGTAAACAGCAAACTCATATATCTTCTGTAACCAAGGACACTTATGAGTAAATAGTTTACACTTCTCCCCAACCAGAGGGTATATAGTTTAAGTCACCCTACTCAGGGAGGCAGCAGAAATCCAATTATGTACTACCATTTACCAACCACACCCAAGGAGAAATTAAGTTAAGAGAATAAATCTTATTTTGGCATATCAGCATAAACTTATGAATATTCTATGGAGATCCTCCCCTAAGACCTACCCTAAACTCTCAACCTTTTTTTAAAAAAACAACAACAAAAAGCTCAAAAGAAAAGTTCTACCATGCCCTCTCCCTCCCTTGCAACCAGGGAGCAATGGGCAGCAACAGCTCAACCAGGGCTGACCCCTTGAACCTAACCCCAAGGCCCCCTTTCCTCTGACTTCTTAGTGAGCAAAAGCAGTCCAGTCTGGGCTCATTTCCCCACCTAGTCTCTCTCTTGCTTCTTCCATCCTATGCCCTTCCTTGTTCCACTGTCCCCAGCTTTAATAAATGTCTCTAAAAATCACCTAGGCTTGGCTGTGAAATCTTTCCTGCATGAAGTCAAGAACCCACACACTACCAGTTATCCCTAGGCAGACCTGCTCAAGGCCAGGGCCCCTTTCTGGTAACACCTTGATCTCAAATTTCTAGCCTCCAAAACTGAGAGAACAAACTCTGTTGTCTAAGCCACCCAGTCTGTGATACTTTGTTCCAACAGACCTACGAAACTAATCCAAAAACCTATTCTTGAATTGTTTGCTTTCTTCCCTCACAGCTGGGTTCTGCGCATCTAGAAATTGGGAAGCTCAGGAAGGAATACATTCACGCGGGGACCTAATATATTTTCTACTGAATTAGAAGCTGAAACTGCTTTATGGCCATTGAAAATTCTTTACCCTCAAGGAAAAAAAAAAAGAATTATTCTGGAGTGACAATAATCAATACAAATAGTGCTGTTGCCACATATAAAACAGGGTTAGGAGTGTTATTCCTCCAGGATAACTATTGTCCACAGTAGAAACTGTAAAAGAGAGATGGATACAACCATGCATAGGTGGGAACAACAGCGCTCAGATTCTTCCCGACAAAGGTGTGGTTCATTCAGCTCACGGAGCAGACAAAAACCCCAACGTGGAGGACTCCCTGGGAGTAAGAGACTATGAATTGAGTAGCGAAGGGTGAAGTCCTTCATAAATACCACCTCAAGCTTATAAGCAAGGGAGACAGGCAAGCCCTAATGGGAGTACCTTTATTCCCCTTTTTATTATTATTTTGTGGCATATAGGACGTGATGGCACACTACAATGTATCATTTTGTCCATAAAGCATAGCACACTGGCATGTGATTGCGAGAGTACTAGAGGGGTATGGGTATTACCCAAGGATACTAACGTAGGAAATGGCAGCCTGGAGCCTTCCTCTCCAGCTACGGTGACTAAAACCTATTGAGGAGGAGGTACTTTCTGTTGAACATTACCTATTTATATTATATTATAAATAAGTGCATATATTTGAAATGCTTTCAAATGTTGTTTACAGGAAGAAGGTCCTGTGTGCACTGTTGTACAGGGAATAATCAGAACGTGTGGACGTCTCTTGCTTCTGGGCAGCATTGTGCGAGCTGCCCAGGCGCTCTACCTGATTCTAGGGAGCTGTCAATCACAGGACTCCAGAAATAAGCTACGCCAAAATGATGAAGCTCTCTTTTCTAGGAATTTCAATCATGAGTAGAGACACACAGGCCTAGAAGGCAGTTAGAAATGAGTCATATGGTGGCAGCTCCCAACATAGTGAGCACATGAGTTCCCACTATATGGATCACCTAAATGCCCAAGTCCCTGGCTTCCCTAGGCCTGCCTGCTCAGCATGCCATTCAGTAGCCTTCCAAGAAATCCATTCAGCTTCTCTTTTCCTTCCCTCTTCCTTTTTCCTTTCTCTCTTCTCCTTTCTTTCCCCCTCTCCTCTTCTCTCTTCCCCTCCCCTTCCCTCCTCTCTGCTTTCCTTCCTTCCTTCTTTAGTTATCATTACTGTTACTTGTAGCTAAAGAATACAGACATAGGAATTACCAGGCTTCTCATATTTTTCTCATAATATTTTGAAAGTTTACATATGTATATAGAACATTTATCTATAAAGAGGCTATTAAACCTGGTGGATAGAAAAGGTCTATTATGAAAAGCATTACTATGTTTCCTAGCATAGAATTAATGGTGAGAGAATATGGCACAGGGTGTTGTTGTTGTAGCATACCAGAGATTGTTTCTACCTCTTCTAGCACCAACCTCAACTCTAATCCTACCTTGATAAAATCTCTGCATCAGTGCAATATGTTGGACTCTGAATAAAGGGATTTGAGTAAAGACAAAGTTAGATAAACAGTGAAAGGAATAGTTAGAAAAGACAAGAGTAAAAAAGAAAAGGAAAATATGAGTCAGTAATTACTAGGGTAGATGGTATCTAGCCAGAAGTGGAAGTCTCATCTCGATAGGGCCAAATTAGCACAGCCAAAACCGGACATCCCCTTTCTCCTAGCTCTCTTCACCACAGCCCTTAGTGGGAAATAACAAAATATATAGACAATATATCTTTTAAAGCTCTCTCTCTCTCTTTCTGTGTGTGTATATATACACACGGTATGGAAATGTCTGTAAAGTAAGTTAACATCTCTGAACATTTTATTGTTAAAATGAAGAAGTTGAACTAGATGCTTTCTCACTCTCTCAAAACTAAACCTATGATTTGATTTTCTTTAAATAGCAACTCTATTTCTATGGGCTAAAAATGAATTATAAATCAAATATTTAGAGTTCTAATTCTATCTCAAATTTAAAATCTTAGGGAGAAAATAATTCCATCTGTATCACAGTTTCCTCATCAGTAAACTAAGATGATTTTCAATCCAATTAAACTATCATACTTTTTCAAAATTTTTATTTATTTATTTTGAGAGAGAGAGGGAGGGAGAAACACTGATTTGTTGTTCCACTTATTTATGCATTCATTGGTTGGTTCTTGTATTTGCCCTGATCAGGAATTGAACCCACAACCTTGGCATATCTGGACCGTGCTCTAGCCAACTGAGCTACTTGGCCAGGGCAAACTATCATACTCTTTATTTTTTTAAATATATCTTTATTGATTTCAGAGAGAGGAAGGGAGATGGGGAGAGGGAGAGAGAGAGAGAAACATCAATGATGAGAGTCATTGATTGGCTGCCTCCTGCACGCCCCCTACTGGGGATCAAGCCAGCAACCCTCGCATGTGCCCTGACTGGGATTTGAACCTCGATCTCCTGGATCCTAGGTGGATGCTCAACAGCTGAGCCACGCTACACAGGCTATTATACTTTTTTAAATGAAGAGATTATAGGGCCTTTATGTGTTATCACATAGAATTAATTTATCTATTCTAACAGTACCTATACATAACAAGTGTATTTCTTCATATATATTGTTTGAACATGTGCACATAAGACACACACTTTAACTCTTTCTAGATTCAGTGAAAATATAACCATCTCTATAAAAAGAAAGGGCCTACCAAATTCCTGTGATGACAAGCAGTAAGTGTGGCAAGTCAGTTTTGCCTCTTTCTGTTCTCCAAAGCGCTGGTTGACAGACAAATATTTGATTGTCCTAATGAACTACATAGATAATAAGGCAGTGCCTAAAGTTTACATGCAGGCTTAATGATAAGGGTTTCAGTGTTGAAGGTCTGCTGTTGTATCACTTTAATATAAAATCAACAAGTAATTTTTAGCCTCTAAATTAGAATTTTAAAATAACCCATTCATCATGAGCAGTAATAAAAAAAGCTAGTGGAATGTTAGTAAATTCCTATTTAATTCTCCTGAAATGACTTCTTTGACATTTTTATATTAGAACTTGACACAACTCAAGTTATTTTTAACTCAGAGTTTCTTTCCATGTCATTTCCTGAGAATAAAACAGCAGAAGTAAGCATTCTTAATCAATGAACGAGCTTAAACTTTAGAAAACCAAAGAATTAGCTGACAACTAAAGTGTTCTAAATACCTTAATACTCTTCATATATTTTTTCAGAGAAAACTCAGTATCCTGCCCTGAGTCCAGGCATGGGGACCTAAGACTGGACGTACAAAGATAAAGACAGAAAAATTCATGCCGCCACTTCAGTGGCCCTCAGAGTCAAATATTCTCAGTACAAAATGATCTGAGAATTACAATATTTAACAGTCCTTTTGATTTCAAGGTCGGAAAATGACATGTGCCAACTGCTATGCAAAACTGCCCTCATCCTAACAATTCGTTTGTCAGTGTTGAAATAAGCAAACCAAGTTCAAAGTCCAGAAATTGCAAACGGGGGGGGAGGAGGGGAGGTAGGCTGCAGCAGGGGGTGCTAGCTGGGGACAGGCGCAGGTACAAAGGGAAGACAGCGGGGTGCCTCTCCCCTACTTTTCCACGGCAAAGCGCTCATCCCGGCCCTCGGACGGGGAACTTCAGCAGCGTCCTCCCTCCTTTAATCCTCAGTGTGACTCAGGTCCTTCCATCTGTCCTGGGGGCAGAAGAGGGTTCCCAGAGCAGGGCGAACGTCGACCCTGCCCCACCGCGACACTGCCTGCCGGACCGCGGCGGCTCCACCAGCCGGGTCGTTGCCCGGACTCGCCGGGAAGTTTCCAGGCGGCTGCAGCCCTCGGAAAGCGAACGCAACGCGGCCGGCGGCTGAGCGCGCAGCGCTGGGAGAGGAGACGGGGCGCCGCGGGCTACTCACAGTTTGCCTCCGGGGCGGGAAACACCAGGGCGAGGCACGTCAGCAGCGCCCCGCAGCTCGCACCGAGGACCCTCATGGCCGGGCCGTGGCGCGTGGCCGCGGGATC